GAGACGTCTTCTCTATTCGCGGTCTAGAGTGCAGCAGCAGCAGGAGGAGGAGGACTCATGCGGATTCGCTTCTGCTGCGTTGGCAGTGGTGCAAACAGCACAACCAGCAGCGGCAGCAGCTCATCACGTGTGGTGCTGGTGGTTGTTGTGGTGGTGGTGGTGGTTGTAGTGCTTACCTTAGTGGTATGGGTGATGGAGGTTTGTTTTTGATCGTGGTGGTGGTTGTGTGGTTGTGGCAACAGCGATGGTTGGTGGTTGTTGTTGTGGCAACAAAAATACAATTTAAACTTCCGTCGATAACAGTGGCCTTGAAAAAAGAGTAACAGAAGACGTTTCGGGTGATGACCCTTCTTCACAGCTTATGCTGTGGGCCATTGCCATTTTACAAACACGTCGTCTATGATTATTTTTAAAATGTTCATTTTTTTAAGGCCACAGTGTCAGTGACGAATCTGTTGATCTGCCAACGTCGCAGCGAGTGGACGTTCTGAACGTGAACGCAGCCACTTGACTCGCCACTGCCACTGAGCGAGAATTACAGAGGCGAGCGTTGTCCAACCCCCCACATTCTCGCACGCGTGGGTTCCTTCCCGCCTGTATCAACGCTCATTCATTGGCCGAAAACATCTTAATACATAGAGGGCCGCAGAGCTCGAGGTGACTGTTGGTAGAGTCATGGTGGATCGCCGCGTGGCTGCTGCTGCTGATCATCTCTTGACTGTGGTTCTTGGCGATTGCGAGAGATGGCAATGGCGTGCACGGTGATGCCATCTATTAAACTACAACGTAACGATGGTCATTTTTTAACGATTACTTTTTAACTGTGGTCGTGTGCGTTCCGTGTGTGTGCCGTGGTGTATGCATACGTGTGTCATTGTCTTTGTGCGCCTGTGTTCTTGTTATGTGTGCCTGGTGTGTATACACATCTGTGTTTGTGTGTACGTATACAATTATGTGTATACAGTCGATGTGTATCCATGTATGTGTCTTTGTGTGGTGCCTCTGTGCCTGTCTGTGCGTTTGTTTATGTGTGCACGTGTGTGTGCACGTGTGTGTGCACGTGTGTGTGCACGTGTGTGTGCACGTGTGTGTGCACGTGTGTGTGCACGTGTGTGTGCACGTGTGTGTGTCTGCACACATTTTGGGGAGAGGTAGTGTAGCGGTTAGCGCGCTGCGCTATGAACCTGGCGACCCGGGTTCGATTCCCGCTCACGGCCAACACCCAGTAACAATTATCTGAAACGGTCCTGGGCCTCCCCTAGGTCGACTCAGCCTCAAAGGAGTACCCGGTGCGATGTGTAAACATCGTCACTGGGGAGACAAAAGCGGCCGGGCGTGGTGCTGGCCACTTACCCCCTCGTGCGCAGTGTCGGCCTTCAAAGGGTGCTCGCTAACAGCACTTGCCCGAACACTGGGGATCTTTGTCTGTATGTTTATCTATCTTGCGATGTATCTTTACATATTCGCGTGCGTGTGTGCATATGTGGGCGAGTGTGTGTGAAGTTCACACGCGAACGCACGCGCAGGAGCGACGCTCACAACAACGAGCGGAGCGTCGGGCAGATAAAACACATCACGAGTTGGCACATTTCGGAGGAGGGCGGGTTGGATCATCTCAATGAACCCATAACACCTGGGTCTGTCCGGTAGGCAGTGGAGCCTTCCACACTTCACGTGGCATCAAAGTGCACCTAGCCTGGCACAAGTGCCATCACCTCCACTTAGTGGGAAACGTCGGGTAATGTTAATACATGTCTGTGTGTGCGAATGTGTTGTTGTGTGTGCGTGCGCGGCGCGCGTGCAAGTATGCCCGCACGTAGCCAACCGTGCACGGAGGTGCGTGCGTGTCGTCGGTGTCTCGCTCACTGCACTTCCAGCCTGTGACAGGCTATACGGAGTGGGGAGTGATCTTTGTATGTATGTCAGTGAGTATGCGTGTGTATGTATATCAGTGAGTATGCGTGTGTATGTATGTCAGTGAGTATGCGTGCGTGTGTATGTATGCGTGTGTAGTTAGTGAGTATGCATGCGTGTGTGCGTGAGTGAGCGAGGGAGCGCCACGTGTTTGAAGCACGCGCGTCTCTCTCCAGAGTTCGTCTACAGTAAAAAGTCGCTGCGTAAACTCGGCCCGAGGTCTCCACCTCTTCCACCTCCTTCTCTTCCACCTACCTCTCTTCCTCCCCTTGCACGGGCAACTCGTGACTACCGCAACGAGGAGGACGATTTGCGATCGCGAGAAAGGATGACGACGACGATGATGATGATGATGTGGTGGTGGTTGTCGGTGGTTGTGGCGAGGGAGGAAGGAGGACTTAGGCCGAGGTGGTGGACAGCGAGGTGGAATAACTAGTCGAGCGGGGGGGTGGGGGGCGATGCCACTGTGGGGGGTGAGGGGGGGGGTAGCGCACGAGGCAACGGACCGGGTCCCCACGGGGTCCCCACGGGGTCCCCACGGGGCCCGGCTCGCAGTGACGGCGTCGTCTGGGGCAGGAGGAGGAGGAATAGGATGAGGAGGGAGAGGAGGAGGAATAGGAGAAGGAGGGAGAGGACGAGGAATAGGATGAGGAGGGAGAGGAGGAGGAATAGGAGGAGGAATAGGAGGAGGAGGGAGAGGAGGAGGAATAGGAGGAGGAGGAGGGAGAGGAGGAGGAATAGGAGGAGGAGGAATAGGAGGAGGAGGGAGAGGAGGTGGGAGAGGAGGAGGGAGAGGAGGAGGAGGGAGAGGAGGAGGAGGAGGGAGAGGAGGAGGAGGGAGAGGAGGAGGGGGGAGAGGAGGAAGAGTTGACGGAGTTGACGGAGTTGATGGAGTTGACGGAGTTGACGGAGTTGACGGGGTTGACGGGCCATGCACAGACGTCCGGGATTCTGGGTTTGGTCGGCGGTGTCTTGGCGGTCGATTTTTGTCCGTGGTGGTGGTGGCTGTGGTAGTGGTGTTGGTGGTTTTGGTGTTGGGTTTTAGTGGTGGTATTCGTCATGGGTTTGTTGTTTTTGATGGTGGTGGTGTAATGGTGGTGGTTGTAGCGGTGGTGGTTGTGGTGTAATGGTGGTGGTGGTTGTGGTGTAATGGTGGTGGTGGTTGTAGCGGTGGTGGTGATTGTGGCAATGTTCTTGGTTGTGGTGGTGTTGGCATGGTGGTGGTTGTGGTGGTGGTTTTGTTGGCGGTCGCAATGGTGATGAGGCATAGAACGACGAATCGATTATTGGGCTCACGATACACGCATAGAACCGCGTGTCGGATAATCGATTATTATGATTTACGCAAATTATATGCAAACGATATGCTAACGTTACATTTAGGCTAATGGTAGCGAACACAACGGCACGGACAAGACCTTTGAAACAAAAAAACAGGAAACAATGCAAACGAGAGAGCGTAAAACACGACACAAAATAATCGAATCGAGACACTGAATCGTGACGATTCATAGAATCGTCAAGGATTTGAATCGTTAATGCCGAGTGGCGATGGTGGTGGTGAGAGGGGTGGTGGTGGTGGTGAGGGGGTGCTGAGGTGGTGGTGAGGGGGTGTTGAGGTGGTGGTGGTGGTGGTGGAGGAAGAGGTGGTAAGGTGGTGGTGGCGTGGTGGTGGTGGCGAGGTGGTAGTGAGGTGGTGAGGTGGTGGAGGTGGTGGAGGTGGTGGTGGAGGAGGTGGTGAGGTGGTGGTGGCGAGGTGGTAGTGAGGTGGTGGTGGAGGAGGTGGTGGAGGTGGTGGAGGTGGTGAGGTGGTGGTGGCGAGGTGGTAGTGAGGTGGTGGTGGTGGAGGAGGTGGTGAGGTGGAGGTGGTGAGGTGGTGGTGGTGGTGGAGTAGGCGAGGTGGTAGTGAGGTGGTGGTGGTGGAGGAGGTGGTGAGGTGGAGGTGGTGAGGTGGAGGTGGTGGTGGAGTAGGCGAGGTGGTAGTGAGGTGGTGGTGGAGGAGGTGGTGGTGAGGTGGTGGAGGTGGTGAGGTGTTGAGGAGTTGGTGAGGAGGTTGTGAGGTGGTGGTTGTTGTGGTGGAGGTGGTTGGTGGTGGTGGTGGTTGTGGAGGTGGTGGGTGGTGGTTGTAGAGGTGGTTGCCGTCTGAGTAATTTTGGGAGTTGTGGAGGTGATGGTGGTTCTGGAGGTGATGGTCATTGTGGTAGTGGTGGTGGTTGTGGAGGTGATGGTGGTAGTATCGTGGTAGGTGTGCTGGTGGTCGTAATGGTGTCAATTAGGGCATCACCACGGACGGTGGTGGTTGCGTTGTCTCGATATCCGGGTATTTTTGTTGTTGTTGTTGACCGTTGTTGACATTGTTGACTGTTATCGTTGTTGAATTTTGTTCACTGTTGTAAATGTTGACTGTTGTTGTTGTCCTGGCCATTTGAGTTGTTTTTAGTTATAGTAGCTGTTGTTGTTGTTGTTGGTGTCACTGTACGAGTAGACGTGTTTTGTTGGAGCCATTGTTGTTGTTGTTGTTGGCTCGGCAAACCAAGCCTCCACTGCCACATCAACCAACCCACCCTCGCGTTTCACCGCCAGCCTGGGGAACCCCACAGCTGCCGGGTATCGGTTCACCACCATACACAGGTGCGCGCACCACCACCACGAGACAGGTGATTCCACATATTCCCCCTTCACCACCACCCCCCACCCACCCGACCCCCAACCCTGACCACCTTCTTGAAACCCCCAAGATAAGAGATTATCTCCGCCTATCACCAACAACAATAGACAACCGTCACATGTGCATATCCTCAAAACACCACTTCCTCCTCCATCTCCACCTCCCCCACCTCACCACCACCACCACGCACTTTGGCTAAAGTCCATCGAGTCTCAGCCGCGTGCGTGGGTCCGGCGTGAATGTCGAAGCACGTGATCCGCAGAGGCAGCGTCCCTGTGACGTGCCCCCCACACGTGACGTGTCCCTGTGACGTCTCTCACACGTGACACGTGTCCCACACGTGCCTTCTCGTCCAATAGAAGTCATCTTTTTGAGAGAGAGAAATAAAAACTCGTCTGTCCGTTTTGATGTTTGTTTTGGAGGGGGGGGGGGTGCAATACCATCCGCTTGCGTCCCCCTTCTTCAAATCCGGGGAAGGGGGAGGTGGTGGAGTTTTTGTTTTTGTCTCCGAGGTGCGGGTGGAGGGAGGGGGGGGGGGCTCCCGAAGTTTGTGATAATTCGTGGGGGTCCCCTTCGCCTTGGTCACTGTTCAAATCTTCTTGGGCAGGAAATCTCGGTGGCAGAATGAATGGATGGACGAAGGAATGAGTGAGTGAACGAATTGAAAATGTGATTAAACGAATGAGGAATGTGTTGGACGAACGATTGAACGGCTGATTGGTTTAATTAAGGAACGAGTAAATGATTGATTGTACGGTTAATTAAAACGTGCATAACCTGAAGGGTTAATCAACCAAATTAGTTATTCGAGGAATGAATAATAGGTGGAATTGGAATATTTCTCTGAATGACTGACACTAAGTAATGGGTTTGAGCGCACGGTTGATCTAACGAAATAAATACATTATTTTTTGCAATAAGTTATTGAGTTCATAATTAGCGACTCGTTAAGAGCATTACACCACTCCGTCACTTGCACTGCGGCAGTGAGAGATGGCGACGGCATGTCTTCATCCAGCAGTGGATCGATCAGGGCTGATGGCCACGATGATGACGATGATAATGATGGAGACTCAATAATGTAAAACTAAAACATTTACGTTTGGGTAAATGATTTAACTTATACGTGACTGAACAACGAATGAATGGCTGGGTGAACACACGATTCAGTGAATGAAGAATTACGGAATGATTGAACGAATGAATCAACGCATTCCGCAGTCGGAGGAGAAAGTTCAGCCCTAGGTGGGAAGGGGTTGACGGATCACGAGTTCGCAGGACGCCGGAGTCACGGGCGGGCAGGCAAACAGGCAAGACGCAGTCGGGCAGGCAGACGGCTAGACAAGCAAGTAGGTAGGCAGGCAGGTAAACAGGCAGGCAGACAGGTAGGAGGCAGGGGTGGGTAGGCTGGCACGGGCAGCCCTCACTGCAGCCTGTGCCAGTACTGCGTCAGGTCGGGTTCGCTGCCCGGGACTTGGACGGGCACCGACACCCCCGGCGAGATGAGACCTAGGGAGCGCAGAGACAACATGCGAGGTCAACGACGTCCACGTGAATCACTGATTGGCCGTTGTCGTCATCACGTCTGATGAGTTGTCGTCATCACCGCCGTCACCGCCATCGTGGTCATCGTCGCTCTAAGCAGATTCTTATTCTTGTCGTACGGCTGCTGATGTCGACGCAGAGCAGCAACTACGATTTCACATTCAGGTGGTCAAGCGCAGACAGCCGCGTCACGAGAAGCGGAGTGGTGTGTCGTCGCTTTGACGTCCCATTCGTATTTGTGGATCGGGGGCATTGCCTCGCTATACGTTGTCACCACGGTCTCTGTTCTGGATTAACGCAGTCGCACGCCACTACTACTGCAGAGTTGTTCATTTTCCATTTGTGCATGAGGTAGGTATCCGCATCTACTGCTGCCATGATTTGTGCACTGGATGCGGATGATGATGATGATAATCAGCTTCATCGTCAGGCATCGTCCTCAACGTGAACAGGCATCGTAGTAGACACGCCAAGTCTCTGGGAGGCTCAACCGAGACACGTGGGCGGTTCAGCCGGCATCCCCTCCCATCCGGCAGCCACGCTCAAAAAGATAAAGATCCCCCGTATAGCCTGTGACAGACTCTTGGAGCAAGGGCTGTTAGGGAGCAGCACCTATGAAGGCCGTCACGGCACACGAGGGGGTGGGAGGCCAGCACCACGCCGGGCCGCCTTTGTCTCCGGAGTGGCGATGTTTACTAAACATCACACCAGGTACTCATTTGAGGCTGAGTCGACATAGGGGAGGCCCAGAACCGGTTTCAGATAATGGTCACTGGTGTTGGCCGTGAACGGGAATCGAACTCGGATCGCCGGGTTTGTAGCGCAGCGTAGCGCGCTAATCGCTGCGCCACCACTCCCCACTCTTACATAGCCACGCCTACTCAGCCAGTAGCACCGCCCACCACTCAGCCTGGCTGGGAGGGTTATTGATGCTCATGATGACGTTGACGATGTTGTTGTTGTTGTTTACCTGTGGACCCCGCGGGGCCCATGCTCTGGCTGCCCACGTGGCTCTGCACGTGGGGCGGGGTGTAGCCGTCGTAGCTGCGCGCGCTCACGGGGCTCGTGGGCAGCATGCACGAGTAGCCCTGGCTGCCCATGGGCGCCTGTACACACACACACATACACACACATACACACACGTAAACACGTACACACACAGGTAAACACACACATACATACACACAAATACACACACGTAACACACACATACACACACATACACACACGTAACACACACACATAAACGTAACACACACGTAACACACACACATACATACACACGTAACACACACATACACACACACATACACACACATACATACACACACACGTAAACACATACACACACGTAAACACACACACATACACACACACACACAGACACACACACAGAGACACACACACAGACACACACACACATACACACATACATACACACATACACACACACAAACACACACACATACACACACGTAACACATACACACATACATACACACAGACATACACACATACACACACGTAACACACACATACATACACACACATACACACACACGTAACACACACATACACATACACACACATACACACATACATACACACATACATACACACACGTAACACACACACACACGTAAACACACACACCCGTAACACACACACGTAACACACACACACGTAAACACACACGTAACACACACACACGTAACACACACACACACACACGTAACACACACATACATACACGTAACACACATACATACACACACATACACACACGTAAAGACACACACATACATACACACACACATACACACACGTAAACACACACACACGTAACACACACACACGTAACACACACACACACACGTAAACACACATACATACATACACACACGTAACACACACACGTAACACACACACATACACACACATACACACACGTAAACACACACACACATACACACACGTAACACACACACACGTAAACACACACGTAACACACACACGGATACACACACACACACGTAACACACACACGTAAACACACACACATACACACACGTAACACACACACACACACGTAACACATACACACACGTAACACACACACACACACGTAAACACACACACATACACACATACATACACACACGTAAACACACACACACGTAAACACACACACACATACACACACACGTACACACGTAAACACACACACACACACACGTAAACACACACACATACAAAACACACATAACACACAACAACAACACAACAACCGCCATTCGCCACTAAGTGGCGGTGACGTCACCACGACGCTTGTGCCAGGCTATGTGCACCCTGAGGCCACGTGAAGTGTCGGACGCCCGCACACACATACACACACACGTAACACACACACATACACACACACATACACACACGTAACACACACACACGTAAACACACACACACATACGTACACACACGTAACACACACACCAACGTAAACACACACACATACAAACACACACGTAACACACACACATACAAACACGTAAACATATACACAAAGAGAAAAAAAGATTCCCCATATAGCCTTAACAGACTGTAGGGGCAAGTGCTGTTAGCGAGCACCTACAAACATACACACACGTAACACAGACACATACACACACACGTAAAGACACACACATACACACACATAACACACACACACACACACGTAAACACACACACACGTAAACACACACACGTAAACACACACACACATACACACACACACACGTAACACACACACATACGTACACACACACGCACGTAAACACACACACACGTAACACACACACACGGATACACACACACGTAAACACACACACACGTAACACACACGTACACACACACGTAAACACACACACACGTAACACACACACACGGATACACACACGTAACACACACACACACACACACGGATACACACACACACGGATACACACACACACGGACACACACACACGGACACACACACACGTACACACACACGCACGGACACACACACGCACGTACACACACGCATACATACGCACGTACACAACACCCTCTCGCGTGCCGTGCCGGCCTTCATAGGTGCTTGCTACTCGACAACAGCACTTGCCCCAACTTGTCTGTTAAGGCTACACGGGGGAGCTTTGCCTTTCGCGTGAACTCACCTGCATGGGCAGGTTGTTAGCCATGGAGAAGCTGGGCATGGGTGGCAGGGCGCTGTATGAGTTGCCCAGACTCACGTCCGTCCGACCCAGCATCGCACCTGTGTGGGGGTGGGGGGTGGTGAGGGGGTGGTGAGGAGGTGGTGGGATGGGAGGAACGAGGGCGTGAGGATGTGGTGGTGAGGCCATCCATATATACAAGCACAGAGACAATTTCAACCAAGTAGATGGATTCTGGCTTAGTAACCACTGGAAAGACGTTTTAAACCATTTCGGTTCTTAATTAATTGTATTTTACGGTGACCGTCAGACCGCAGCTCTTTCGCTCACATTGCCTCTTAATACCTCTCACACCACGGTTAATGGTATGGTTTATAACATGGAGTATAACAGCGCATTGTGGCTGTCTCTCTCCCTCTTCCATTCCCAAGCATGGATTGACTCGTCCGTCTGAACGGGGCTCGTTTGCTGTCCGTGGTGCTGACGTTGATGGGAAGAAAAACCGCGATTTGTCGCAATATGGCATTGTGATATATAACGACTTATTGTTGGTGGCTCAGCTGATTGGAGAGTATATAGAGTTTATTGATAACATTGAGGTAGTTTATATTTTGGTTTTCATTGGTATTACTATATGGTATTCATTATATAGTGTAGTGTATACCCAGTTGCTTTGTGATTAAAAGCTCAGCTTATTGAAGAATGTATTAAGTACAATTATTATATTGATGTAATATAGACTTAGTTTTTTCTCACATCGGTTTACTGTATGATAGTTGGGTAGTTGGAAGCCCTTTAGCGTCCATATACTAAATGCCTCTGTTGATATGTAAACTTTGACTTTAACACAGCTATTTTTGTCACAAGCGAATACCTAGCTATTTCAATGCTAAATTCTCCTGCTTTCTAGGTCATTCACACCTATCACCGAGCTTAAAAGACGCCACGAATTTCAGCAGCACTCATTGAAGCACTGTCGTCCCGACAGTTCTGTTCTTTCACCTGAAGAAGGCCGCTTGTGTTGTGGCCGAAACGTCGTGAGAATTTTATTGTCTTATTTTTATTTTATTCTCATTCTACGTGACTTTACCGAAAGAACCAAAGAAGATGTGGTGGTGGGAAAGAGGTGAGGCGAGGAGGTAGTAAGGAGGTGGGAAAGTGATTTCAACAGATCTCTTCATGCACGCCAGGGACTCACCTGTTACATTGTCTGCATTTTACAAATATCGCACACCGACTAATCTGATCGTTAGGGCTATTGGTGTGTATAGTATTTATACTGTAACTTGACTCTAGATACAGTGAGGGAAAAAAGTATTTGATCCCCTGCTGATTTTGTACGTTTGCCCACTGACTAAGAAATGATCAGTCTATAATTTTAACGGTAGGTTTATTTGAACAGTGAGAGACAGAATAACTACAAGAAAATCCAGAAAAACGCATGGCAAAATGTTATAAATTGATTTGCATTTTAATGAGGGAAATAAGTATTTGACCCCCTCTCAATCAGAAAGATTTCTGGCTCCCAGGTGTCTTTAATACAGGTAACAAGCTGAGATTAGGAGCACACTCTTAAAGGGAGTGCTCCTAATCTCAGCTTGTTACCTGTATAAAAGACACCTGTTCACAGAAGCCATCAATCAGATTCCAAACTCTCCACCATGGCCAAGCCCAAAGAGCTCTCCAAGGATGTCAGGGACAAGATTGTAGACCTACACTTGGCTGGAATGGGCTACAAGACCATTGCCAAGCAGCTTGGTGAGAAGGTGACAACAGTTGGTGCAATTATTCACAAATGGAAGAAACACAAAAGAACTGCCAATCTCCCTCGGCCTGGGGCTCCATGCAAGATCTCACCTCGTGGAGTTGCAATGATCATGAGAACTGTCAGGAATCAGCCCAGAACTTCACGGGAGCATCTTGTCAATGATCTCAAGGCAGCTGGGACCATAGTCACCAAGAAAACAATTGGTAACACACTACGCCGTGAAGGACTGAAATCCTGCAACGCCCACAAGATCCCCCTGCTCAAGAAAGCACATATACATGCCCGTCTGAAGTTTGCCAATGAACATCTGAATGATTCAAAGGACAACTGGGTGAAAGTGTTGTGGTCAGATGAGACCAAAATGGAGCTCTTTGGCATCAACTCAACTCGCCGTGTTAGGAGGAGGAATGCTGCCTATGACCCCAAGAACACCATCCCCACCGTCAAACATGGAGGTGGAAACATTATGCTTTGGGGGTGTTTTTTCTGCTAAGGGGACAGGACAACTTGACCGCATCAAAGGGACGATGGACAGGGCCATGTACCGTCAAATCTTGGGTGAGAACCTCCTTTCCTCAGCTAGGGCATTGAAAATGGGTCGTGGATGGGTATTCCAGCATGACAATGACCCAAAACACATGGCCAAGGCAACAAAGGAGTGGCTCAAGAAGAAGCACATTAAGGTCCTGGAGTGGCCTAGCCAGTCTCCAGACCTTAATCCCATAGAAAATCTGTGGAGGGAGCTGAAGGTTCGAGTTGCCAAACGTCAGCCTCGAAACCTTAATGACTTGGAGAAGATCTGCAAAGAGGAGTGGGACAAAATCCCTCCTGAGATGTGTGCAAACCTGGTGGCCAACTACAAGAAACGTCTGACCTCTGTGATTGCCAACAACGGTTTTGCCACCAAGTACTAAGTCGTGTTTTGCAGAGGGGTCAAATACTCAATTCCCTCATCTCTACCCCGCCCCCTCCCTGGACCTGCCTCTGTCGCTCGCTCTGCTGACCGGGGCGCTGCACCGCACTCCTCACCTGGGTGCATGCCAGGTGCCGAGGGCTGCGGGATGGGCTGATAGACGGTGGTGGAGAAGCTCGAGTTGATGGGGATGTGGCTCGGAGCGTTGCTCGCCTGACGCCTCTGGTTCCGCAGCTTCTCCTCGCGCCGCCACTTGGCGCGGCGGTTTGAGAACCACACCTGGGGGGGGCGGGGGGGGCATGGGGGTGGGGGGGTTGGAGAGTGACCCAGGGCAGCAGGGAAAGGGAGGGGAGGATGAGTCGGTGGGTTGATTGATTGGACTATCTGATGAGCGAATGTGTGAATAACCGAGTTCGTGTGTTGGTTGATCCGATAAGTTGATTAATTGGTGGGATGGTTGAATTATTAGGTGATTGTTAAGTTGATTTGGGTGATTATTGATTGATTGGTTGGTTGATTGTTTGATGAAGTGATTGATTGATTGGTAAATTAATTGAATGGTTTATTAATTACATGCTTTCTTGGTGGATGGATATTTGGTTGACTGATTTATTAATTGGTAAATATTATACTAGTTTTTTTGCAATTTGAAATTCCACAGCCCTATGCCAGGGATCGCTTATATCCATTTTTATAAAGGATAGACAAAAAACTACTTAATGTCATGCAATATACTGCCTCACCTGTACGCCTGTAACTCATCAGTCACCTATCACTCATCACTCACCTGTCACTCATCACTCATACGTCACTCATCACTCACACGTCGCTCATCACTCACCTGTCACTCATTACTCACACGTCACTCATCACTCACCTGTCACTCATCACTCACCTGTCACTCATCACTCACACGTCACTCATCACTCACACGTCGCTCATCACTCACCTGTCACTCATTACTCACACGTCACTCATCACTCACCTGTCACTCATCACTCACACGTCACTCATCACTCACCTGTCACTCATCACTCACCTGTCACTCATCACTCACACGTCACTCATCACTCACCTGTCACTCATCACTCACACGTCACTCATCACTCACACGTCACTCATCACTCACCTGTCACTCACACGTCACTCATCACTCACACGTCACTCATCACTCACCTGTCACTCATCACTCACACGTCACTCATCACTCACCTGTCACTCATCACTCACTCATCACTCACACGTCACTCATCACTCACACGTCACTCATCACTCACATGTCACTCATCACTCACCTGTCACTCATCACTCACACGTCACTCATCACTCACCTGTCACTCATCACTCACACGTCACTCATCACTCACCTGTCACTCATCACTCACTCATCACTCACACGTCACTCATCACTCACACGTCACTCATCACTCACATGTCACTCATCACTCACCTGTCACTCATCACTCACACGTCACTCATCACTCACCTGTCACTCATCACTCACACGTCACTCATCACTCACATGTCACTCATCACTCACACGTCACTCATCGCTCACCTGTCACTCATCACTCACTCATCACTCACACGTCACTCATCACTCACACGTTACTCATCACTCACATGTCACTCATCACTCACCTGTCACTCATCACTCACACGTCACTCATCACTCACCTGTCACTCATCACTCACACGTCACTCATCACTCACCTGTCACTCATCACTCACTCATCACTCACACGTCACTCATCACTCACACGTCACTCATCACTCACATGTCACTCATCACTCACCTGTCACTCATCACTCACACGTCACTCATCACTCACCTGTCACTCATCACTCACACGTCACTCATCACTCACACGTCACTCATCACTCACACGTCGCTCATCACTCACCTGTCACTCATCACTCACTCATCACTCACACGTCACTCATCACTCACACGTCACTCATCACTCACCTGTCACTCATCACTCACACGTCACTCATCACTCACCTGTCACTCATCACTCACACGTCACTCATCACCTGTCACTTACCTGGATGCGCGCCTCGGGGAGGTCGATCTTGGATGCGAGTCGCTCACGCGCGAACACGTCCGGGTAGTGAGTCCGCTCGAACTCTGGGCAGGTGAGCAGTGCAGGTGAGGGGAGAGACAGGTGAGACACAGGTGAGTGAAGGGACAGTGCAGTACTAATACCGCTGTTGATGATGATCATGATCATGATTGTGCTGCTGCCAAATACTGCTGCTGATGATTACGATGATGGCGACCCGACTGCTGATGTTGCTGACGATGATGAGAACTGCTGTACCTCCTGCTCCTCGCTGAAACTCCGATGATGACGCCGATGATTGCCGACGATGATTACAATCCAACCGCCGACGCTGATGATCACGATGACTGCCGCTGCCGCTCGCCGCTACCCTTGCCGATGATAACAATCCTGACGCTGCCGCCGATGACGACGACGACGCTGATGGTGACGACGCTGGCGAGGGACCTCACCTTTCTCGAGGGCCTCGATCTGCTCCTGGGTGAACGAGGTGCGGTTGCGCTGCAGCTTCCTCTTCAGCTGGAGCCGCATCTGCGCGTCCTCTGAGTCGTCGCTAGCCGAGTTGCTCAAGCTCGTGTCCAGGCTCCCGTCGTGGGACGCGCACCCGTCTGGGGGGGGGGGGGAGGGGGGGGGGTCACGCGGGGAGGTCACACGGTCAGTCGGAAGGTCACGAACGCCACGAAGGTCCAGTTAGGTCGCACTGGTTGTACACAGTGCCGGATGAAGCTAGTGCGAGGCCTGTAGCATGTGTTATAAAGTGGCCCTAAATTAAAAAAAAAACACGCAAATATTAAAACACACAAATGTTTAACTTGCGTAGTAAAGTAAATTGGATTTTTGCATTTGCTATACAGCCAGATAATACGACAAATCGCTAACCTTAAACACTCAGTCGTTCATAAAAGTTGAAGGCGGTATAGTACTATAGTAATAGAGCGAGTGCAGAATCACTGAACCGGAATTGATAGCTTGAAAGCATTTAGCGCGGGGGCCTTGAAAGTGCGGGGCCCGTAGCTACTACATGCGTAGCTGCTACATGTGTAGCTACTTGTGCTACATGTGTAGCTACTACATGTGTAGCTACTTGTGCTACACGTGTAGCTACTTGTGCTACATGTGTAGCTACTACATGTGTAGCTACTACACGTGTAGCAACTTGTGCTACATGTGTAGCTACTACATGTGTAGCTACTACACGTGTAGCTACTTGTGCTACACGTGTAGCTACTTGTGCTACATGTGTAGCTATTACATGTGTAACTACTACACGTGTAGCTACTTGTGCTACATGCGTAGCTACTACATGTGTAGCTACTACACGTGTAGTTACTTGTGCTACACGTGTAGCTACTTGTGCTACACGTGTAGCTACTACATGTGTAGCTACTACATGTGTAACTACTCCACGTGTAGCTACTTGTGCTACACGTGTAGCTACTTGTGCTACACGTGTAGCTACTACATGTGTAGCTGCTACACGTGTAGCTACTTGTGCTACACGTGTAGCTACTTGTGCTACATGTGTAGCTACTACATGTGTAGCTACTACATGTGTAGCTACTACATGTGTAGCTACTACATGTGTAGCTACTTGTGTAGCTACTACATGTGTAGCTACTTGTGTAGCTACTTGTGCTACATGTGTAGCTATTACACGTGTAGCTACTTGTGCTACTAGGATAATCCGGCACGTGCTGTGCAGGCTAACGACGCCTCTGGTTACGCACAAACCATGGCGGCAGATCCGGATACCTGATGATGTACAAATGGTAAATAAAAAAAGAATCCAGCAGCATTGGTGCAGCTGCGGTCATCCAGGACAGAACGTAGTGCAGCGTGTAACGACGCAATGGCCCCGACCCACTAATACGAAGGAGACATCACAGCGACGCTGCTCCTGACGCCGTTGTCTGGGCATGAGCACCTGGCTGTGGAATCGTAGTCGCTGCTCTGCGTCCTCATCAGCAGGCCGCACAAGAATAAGGCCGGTTGGGGAGTACTACCATTATTATTGTGAGTACCACGCCTGTTTGCCCAGCTGTTATATAGAACAACGAGTGTTTTTTTTTTATTGTTGTCGTGATTATGAAGCCTCACTGAGGCTCAGGACTCCTTTCCAAGAGGGTCCTGCCAGGCTATCGTAGTACGTGGGTGGTGATGTTGCCGCTGCTGCTGCTGCGTGTTAACCCGATTGAGTAATGTGCGGTGCGATGCTTTCATCATGTTTTGGCTCATAGCAGTTACAAGGTATGGTTTTGTTTTTAAAGCTACAGGAGGAAACCCATGCAGATCAAGCTTAGATCATAGACATTACTGCCCAGCCCGAGCTATCTCCATATATAAAAGGCAAAGTTTTGAATGTGTGTCTGTTCAAAATGTTTAGCGTACTTCCCGACATGCAACAAACTTTAAATTTGCCATGTCGGTACTTTGCAGACTGTACACCATTGCAAAAATTATAAAAATAAACTTTTTTTGGGGGGGGGGGGGGAGCTCAATAATGCTTATATTTTTTGCACGCCCAGTGAGCTGTGACGTCAAATCTGTCACGTGACCCGCGCATGTGGAAGCGTAACGCATTGTCGTGTAGTGGGTAGCGTGCTGAGCTACGAACCCGGCGACTCGAGTTCGATTCTCACTCACGGCCACCACCGATGACGATTATTTCAACCGCTCCTGGGCCTCCCCTAGGTCGACTCAGCCTCAAACGAGTAACTGCTGTGGTGTGTGAACATCGCCACTGGGGAGACAAAGGCGGCCGCGCGTGGTGGATCCAAGTCCCGGGCGAAGCCGGGTAGTACAGCTAGTAAGTAATAATTAGCATTGTGCTGTTCGCCTTTTGGCGTTGTTCTTTGGTCTACCAATACTGGTGGTGAGACGAGGCGATCGAGGAGGCTGTCTCTGGTGTAGTACAATCGGTGCCAAGGACAATGCATGCCTTGTTATCATCAACGCATGGTTGTATGCATGCTGGACTTCTTTCGCACCGTACATAGCCAACTGTGCTAATCGGCGGTGCGAAATGCATGTGTGGCTTAACACAGACTCGACGCCTTGCAAGAGGCGTCCACTCGGCGTTTGAACGTCTTAACGCTCCCAGTGTTGTGGCCGGGAAGGGCAAAGCCGATTGATCACCTTGATACCGGCAAACCCATTCCCGTAGTTTATCTCCGTTGGTTTAGTCAGTTGGAACATTCCGAAGAAAACACGTGCAGAACACGGGGAGACGATACCAACTCCACAACTATCCCCCTGGATAGTTGTGGAGTTGGTATGGTCTCCCCGTGCAGAACACGTGCAGAACACGGGGAGACGATACCAACTCCACAACTATCCCCCTGGATAGTTGTGGAGTTGGTATGGTCTCCCCGTGCAGAACACGTGCAGAACACGGTGAGACCATACCAACTCCACAACTATCCCCCTGGATTGTTGTTGAGTTGGTATGGTCTCCCCGTGCAGAACACGTGCAGAACACGGGGAGACTTGTGGAGTTGGTATGGTCTCCCCGTGCAGAACACGTGCAGAACACGGGGAGACGATACCAACTCCACAACTATCCCCCTGGATAGCCTTTAACAGGCAGGAGGGGAGAGTGCGGTTCGAGAGTGCCGATGAAGGCCGGCACGGCACACGAGGGGAGTGGGTCGCCAGTACCACGCCCGGCCGCCTTTGTTTCCCCAATGGCGATTGTTTACACACCCCGCCTGGTACTCGGTTAAGGCTCAGTCCACCTAGGGTTCGCCGGGGGTACATAGCGCGATGCGTTGCCCACTGCACTACCACTGCTCACAGCTCTAGCTCCATCATCATTATGAATCTAGACACGCAGGCAAAGACCCCCCGTATGGCCTTCATAGACTTTTGGGGCAAGTGCTGTTAGCGAGTCGCACCTATGAAGGACGGAACGACAGAGTAGGGGGTGGGTGGCCAGCGCCACTCAACGCACATGACGCCTGTAGACAAAAGCGTCCCGAGGGTAAAAGGCAAATCGTGGCGATCGCCCCGGGCCCCGTGCTGTGAGGGGGGGGGCGCTTAGACGTCACAGTGTCAGATAGAATACTTCCGATTTAATTTGACGGCGTCGGGGGACCCACGCGGTGGGGTTTGCCCCGGGCCTCGCGCCCCCCCCCCCCCCACCCCCATGGACGGCCCTGGCGACAGCCACACGCGGAGACGGCCCCATCACCACCACCACAGTCCCACTCCACCCACTCCCCTCCACCCACTCCACCCTTCCCCTCCACCCACTCCACCCACTCAACCCACTCCCCTCCCCTCCACCCACTCCACCCACTCCCCTCCACCCACTCCACCCACTCCCCTCCCCTCCCATCCCCTCCCCCTGCCCGTCTCCTCGCCTCCACTCCCCTCCCCTGCCCCTCCCAAACCATCGTGTCGCCATGGCGCGTGTTGCCAGGTGACTTGTGAGAGTGGAGGTGTGAGTGAGTGTGGACTGGGTGGGTGGTGGTAGTCGTGGTGGTGGTGGTCGTGGTGACTGCAGGACAGGTAGCGCACAATCCCTCCCCCCCCCCAGGATAATTAGGCGACCCGGGGGTGGTGCCACCCTCACACCCGGGGGTGGTGCCACCCTCACACCCGGGGTGCCACCCTCACACCCGGGGGTGGTGCCACCCTCACACCCGGGGTGCCACCCTCACCCCCGGGGTGCCACCCTCACACCCGGGGGGTGCCACCCTCACCCCCGGGGTGCCACCCTCACACCCGGGGTGCCACCCTCACACCCGGGGGTGGTGCCACCCTCACACCCGGGGTGCCACCCTCACCCCCGGGGTGCCACCCTCACACCCGGGGTGCCACCCTCACACCCGGGGGGGGGTGCCACCCTCACACCCGGGGTGCCACCCTCACACCCGGGGTGCCACCCTCACACCCGGGGTGCCACCCTCACACCCTGGGGTGGTGCCACCCTCACACCCGCGAGCCGCCCACCATCGCGACGAGACGAGGATGCAACCCCGCGGAGTCAATCAGCGGCGTCGCGCCGTTGGCAATGAGCCTTGCCGAGGAAATTCAAATGGGTGGGGGGGGGGGGGGCTGGACAATTCTGCCCCCCCCGCTACTCCCCACCCACCACCACCACCACCACGATGTTCATAGCCCGGGTCTATGAAGATCGAGGCCACCCCACCCCCTCCCGTACCGTGCCAGCCTTCATCGGTGCTCGCGAACAGCACTTGCCGCAAAAGTATGCTGAGGCTATACGGTGGAGATTTTTGTCTTTGCGTGGCCATATTTACATATATTTGCTCGTGTGTTTATTTATTTATTTATACTGGCCAGGGTTGGCGGGTCATGGAGAGATTCATGTGAGAACTCACCACCTCTCGCCCGTGCTCCAGCTGTGTTTCACTGCTCCCTCTCGTCCCCTGTGATCCCCATCCCGCTCCTCCCGTCTCCCTCTCTCTCATGCCCTCCCCGACTGCACACTCACTCAGTAGGTCAGCCGCCTGACGAGCCACCCCGAAACGACCGTCCCTAGGGCACACGGCGAATCGGGGTGATCGGCCTGGGCCCCGCGCTTTGGGGGGGGAGGGGGTGGGGCGCTTGCTTCGTCGTCTTGATGTCAAATGTAATACTTCTGGTTTAGTTTGTAGGCGTGGGAGGTTGCCATGGGAGTCCAGTTTACCATGGGAGTTCAGTTTACCATACACGTCATTAGCTCCCCAGTAGCGATGTTTACGCACCGCACCAGGTACTAATTTGAGGCTGAGTCGACCTAGGGGAGGCCCCAGCACCGGTTCAATTAATCGTCACTGGTGTTGGCCGTGAGCGGGAATCGAACCCGGATCGCCAGGTTCGTCGCGCAGCGTAGCGCTAACCACTGCACCGCCGCTAATAAACACACACACACACAGTCACGTGCGTAACCCTGTCTTCTGATCCCCTCGTGCCTTCTACCTCATCAAACCTCCCCACCCCCTCCCCTGCCTCCCTCCCCGTCTCCCCCCGTCCCCTCCCCCAAATCCCCCGTCGCTTCAACGTCCACCCCCCTCGCTCGGCACCACGCTTCCAAACACGCCGAATCTGCGGGGTGTGCGTCTATCCCCTAAGACCCCCTCCAGCGAGTACATCGGGGGCCTCGGTGCGCCCCCCCGGGCGAAGGGGGAGCAGTGGTCGTGGTGGGGGGGGGGGTGGCAGAGGGGGGTCGAGGAGATGGGTGGGGGGTGGGAGGGAATTAAGAGGGGGGGGGGGCGTGACGCTACATGCGGAGTCATTAGAGAGGCGCCTCTGGGTGCTGCGTGGATTCGCAGCGCTAATTACCTCTGTGAGACAGCAAGCCCCATCGGACACACACACGCGTGTACGTGCACACGTACACGCACACACACTTGTGCGTACACTTGTACACGCACACTTGTAGATATACACACACACACCTGTGTACACCTAGATACTACGACGTTAAAGAACCCCACCCCCCGTGCAGCCTTTGAGAGATTGCTGGGCCAAGTGTAGGCGCGCCCACGACACACACGAGGGCGTGGGTGGTCCACACCACCCCCGGCCGCCTTTGTCTCCCCAGTACTGATGTTTTTCGCAGCAGGAACTCACTTAAGGTTGAATCGACCTTGGGGAGGTCCATGACCAGTTCAAATAATCATCACGGGTGTTGGTTGACCGTGAGCAGGAATCGAACTCTGGTCGCCGGGTTCGTAGCGCGGCGCGCTAACCGCTACCCCACCGCTCCCAACACGCACGCACAGATACACGCCTGACGTACACCTGCGCACGCCCAAGGGCTCGGAGCGTCGTACCTGGGGATTTACAGTGAAGCGCGCACCTTTGGGAAGGCACCTGGCGGCTACACAACCAACGCCTACTCCGAACACTCACGAACACACACGCACGTAAACAAATACAAAACAAAGACAAAGACCCCCCCTATAGCCACAACACACGTTTTGGGGCAAGTGCTGTTCGCAAGCACCAATGAAGCCTGGCACGGTACACACGAGGGGGGTGGGTGGCCAGCGCCACGCCCCGGCCGCCTTTGTCTCCCTAGTGGCGGTGTCCACACATTGCACCAAGTACTCATTAGAGGCTGAGTCGACCTAGGGGAGTCCCGATACACTAAACTAAAACTATATATATGAAACAAAAAACCGCCATGTAATTCGTTTTGGGACGCGACCTGCTAATCACAAATGATCGCTTGACGTCGTGGCGACCAAACGTCATCGTCGTCATCGTCGTCATCGTGTGGGAATTTTTGTTTTTTAAAGCAGCAGCCAAATCGTCTAAACGCGTGATGTTGATTATAAATGTGGAGGGGGGAAACCCCCGGAGGTGACAGCCGGTTCTGTGTGTCGCTTTGCTCAAATCATTTTGCTTCGACCTGGCACCACGTAACGTGCATCGAGTGCGGACTAATCGCCGTCTGTTTCCATCTGTACGGGGATGTAGTGTGTGGACCGCCTCACCCCCCTCGCGCAAGGCGTGTGTTTTATCCGGGTGGCCCGCCTTTGTCTCCCCAGTGGCGATGTTTTACACAGCGCCAGGTATTCATTTGAGGTTGAGTCGACCTAGGGGAGGCCTAGGACCGATTCAGATAATCGTCACCGGTGTTGGTGGCGATGAGCGGGAATCGAACTCGGGTCGCCGGGTTTGTAGCGCAGCGCGCTAACCGTTGTACCACCGCTCCCCACCCCATATCCGATTGGCACGGTTGGCTAGGTACGGTGCAAACGAAGTTCAACGTACATACATCCCCCTCCCTCCCCACCTGACCCCCCTTCATCTCCACTTCCACCCGAACTCACCTGGCCCCTCCTCCTCCTCCCCTGTCACCCTCCCCCCTCCCACACCTGAACCCTCTTCCTCCCCAATCTCCCCTCGACCCACGTCTCCCACCTCCCCCCAACATCCACTTGATCACTCCTCCCCTTACCCCCCCTCTCCCCCACCCCACCACACCTGATCCCCCCCCCACTCCCTCCTATCCACCTCTCCCCCCCCCCCTCTCACCAACACACACCTGATCACTCCCCCCCCCACACCACCCCCCACACCCCCCCCACCACCCCCCCCCCCACCACACACCTGGCCCCTGCTGTCCCGGGAGAGCCGCGCCCGGGTACCATCCGGGTCGGGTGCCCCAGCCGCCCCCGGGTTGCTGCCCGTTGAGCATGCGCAGTTTGTCGTAGACGCCCTCCGCTCCCATGGGCTGCTTCTCGCTCGCCAGGTTGCGCAGCACGCGGTTTATGGACGACACCTGCGGGGGGTGGGGGGGGGGGTTGTCAGGTGTGGGTCAGAGTGTTTGGTGGGGGGGGGGGGGGGCGGTGGTGCAGCGGTTAGCGCTACGCTACGAACCCGCCGACGCGGGTTCCATTCGCGCACGCGGCCAACACCGGTGACGGTTATCTGAACCGGTCCTGGGCCTCCCCTAGATCGACTCAACCTTAAATGAGTAGCTGGTGCCGTGTGTGAACATCGGGCATTGGGGAGACAAAGGCGGTCGGGCGTGGTGCTTACCACCCACCCCCTCGTGTACCGTTCCGGCCTTCATAGGTGCTGCTCGCTAACAGCACTTGCCCCTACGGTCTGTTAAGGCTATACGGGGATCTTTGTACTTGCTTTTTTGTGATATGGTGTGTGTGTGAGTGAGGCATAGGCGTGCGTATTCGGTGTGTGTGCATTTGAGGAGAGTCCAGGTGTGTGCAGGTGTGTGTGTGTGTGTGCATGTGTGCGTGCGTGCGTGCAGGTGCTTGCGTGCGTCCACGTGTGTGCATGCAGGTGCGTGCGTGAGTGCAGGACTGTGCATGGGCGTGTGATGATGATATCGGGAGAGAGTGGAGGAGTAGGAAGGTGGATGGAGAAAAGCATAAATCACTCACTCCACTCAATTATTCAAACCAACATTTTTTTTGTTCCCAGCTTTTGGCAAAGTGCACGAACGCTGTCACCGTAATTCAAATAAAAAAATGCGAAAAAAACGTTCCGATCGCCGCGCTACGGCCGCTCAGCTGTTACTTCAATTGTGGAAGGGAGGGCCTTCGAGGAGGGCCTTCGAGGAGGGCCTTCGAGGAGGGCCTACACTGCCACACGAGGGCCTCTGCGTTAATCCGGTCCCCTGGCCGCACTCCACTCTCGATGGGCCGTCGGTCACGACCATCCCTGTATATCGGCTGCGGTGCGTGGTCTACAGGAGAGCCTGGGTCTTGCGACTGCGTGTGGATGTTTGGTCGATTCCTCTGTGAGATGGCAGTGCCCGGCACGCCCCGTGCAATGTCGCCGCGGTGGCCAGGAGATGTTAACAACCTCGCCTAGTATACAGGAGGTCGTGGGTTCGATCCCTGCCCTAACGCCTGCTGTATATTTGGAGTTTGCGGTGTCTCTCTCTCCCTCATCATCATCACGGTGGTTAGGAGATGTTGACAACCTCGCCTGGTATACAGGAGGTCGTGGGTTCGATCCCGGCTCTGACGCCTGCTGCTGTATATTTGGAGTTTTCGGTGTCTCTCTCTCTCTCTGTCTCCGCGTGGTCGCGTGGATTTTTCTCCGAGCTTCCAATTTCCCCCTTCTAATTTAGAATCAACATCACGCGTCTAGAATATTTGTCTGCTATAAATGTCCCCGTGATAAGCCACTTCGTCGCGCGATCATTTGTGGCCAGGTCGCTTCTAAAAAAGAGCCACATAGATCGGTGGGCCTCACCTGCTCAAATAAAAATAGTTTAAGAGTTAAAACGTCTCTACAAAGCTCCTCGTTCCCATATTAGGATACCACTCGGAGCAATGCACTTCCAAATCACCCAGACTGAAAGCGTATTTATACTCTTTGGTTCTTTCGGTAAATTCACGTAGGTAAAAATAAAATAAAAGCGTATTTCTTTAGAACTGCTTTTTGTGTATAGTTTGTTGGCACCCCACCCCCTCCGCCTCCTCACCTCCGATGAGAACGGTTGGCTACGTACGGCGCGGAAGAAGTTCAACAAAGTACAACAACATCAACAACATCGTCGTCATCACCACGATGCACTCTGCTGGCTGCTTGCAGGCAGAATAAAACGCAGTCCCCGTGGCGACAGCACACGGGGAAGGCGAGTGGAGTGGACGATGTAGCGCATGGAGCCACCCATATAAATCCACTGCTGGATGAACACCTCCCCCCGCCCCCCACCCACCCACGCCACGTTGGTTCTGCAGGGAGGGGGAGGCGTCCGTGGGGGTACTATCTCCCCCCTGGCTCCGCTCCTCCAGGGGCGGCCACTGCTACGTCTGTACTGCATGCGTGTATGTACGGTGAACTTCGTTCGCACCGTACGTAGCTAACCGAGAGGCGCTGTACCCCCTCGTGACGTGGCGGGGGGCACCGCCCACGGGGAAGTATGGCAGCGGGCGTGAGAGTTACAAACAACAACAACAACAAACAAACTCGTGACGTCGGCTCACTGACGGACGCATTCATTTGCCCCGCTACCGGATTTCATTCCGCATTCGTTTGTTTGTAACCTCGGCGGTGGTGCAGCTGCGGTCACCGCTCGTCGCTGCTGCTGCTGCCTGCGGGCGCTCTGCTCACCCACTCACGCACCCTACCACTCACTCACCCTACCACTCACTCACCCTACCACTCACTCACCCTACCACTCACTCACCCTACCACTCACTCACCCTCTACCACTCACCTTACCACTCACCCACTCACTCACCCTACCACTCACCCTACCACTCACTGACCCTACCACTCACCCTACCACTCACGCACCCTACCACTCACTCACCCTACCACTCACTCACCCTACCACTCACCTTACCACTCACCCACTCACTCACCCTACCACTCAACCAACTCACTCACCCTACCACTCACCCTACCACTCACTCACCTTACCACTCACTCACCCTACCACTCACTCACGCTACCACTCACTCACGCTACCACTCACCCTACCACTCACCCTACCACTCACCCTACCACTCACCCTACCAATCACTCACCCTACCACTCACTCACCCTACCAATCACTCACCCTACCACTCACCCACTCACTCACCCTACCACTCACCCTACCACTCACCATACCACTCACTCACCCTACCACTCACCCACCAACTCACTCACCCTACTACTCACTCACCCTACCACTCACCCACTCACTCACCCTACCACTCACCCTACCACTCACTCACCCTACCACTCACCCTACCACTAACCCACTCACCCTACCACTCACCCTACCACTCACCCACCAACTCACTCACCCTACCACTCACCCACTCACTCACCCTACCACTCACTCACCCTACCACTCACCCTACCACTCACTCACCCTACCACTCACCCTACCACTCACCCTACCACTCACCCTACCACTCACTCATCCTACCACTCACCCTACCACTCACCCTACCACTTACCGACTCACTCACCCTACCACTCACCCTACCACTAACTCACCCTACCATTCACTCACCCACTCACTCACCCTACCACTCACCCTACCACTCACTCACCCTACCACTCACCCACCAACTCACTCACCCTACCACTCACTCACCCTACCACTCACCCTACCACTCACCCACTCACTCACCCTACCACTCACCCTACCACTCACCCACCAACTCACTCACCCTACCACTCACCCACTCACTCACCCTACCACTCACTCACCCTACCACTCACCCTACCACTCACCCTACCACTCACCCTACCACTCACTCACCCTACCACTCACCCACTCACTCACCCTACCACTCACTCACCCTACCACTCACCCTACCACTCACTCATCCTATCACTCACCCTACCACTCACCCTACCACTCACCCTACCACTCACTCATCCTACCACTCACCCTACCACTCACCCTACCACTTACCGACTCACTCACCCTACCACTCACCCTACCACTAACTCACCCTACCATTCACTCACCCACTCACTCACCCTACCACTCACCCACTCACTCACCCTACCACTCACTCATTCACTCACCCTACCACTCACCCACTCACTCACCCTACCACTCACCCTACCACTCACCCTACCACTCACTCACCCATCCACCCACTCACTCACCCACTCCGCCACACACACCAACCCACATCACCCGACCAGCGACCGAAGAAGCCTTTCATTATTAAATTCGTGTTCTCATTTTCCTTCTCGTTCGCTCGTCGGGCGCACTTAACGCATCCCCTCCTGCTCCCTCCCCTGCCTCCCCGTCATCCCCTGCCCCCCCTAACGCACCTCACCCCCCCATTCTACCTCCCCTCCACCACCCCTCTCCACCCCCCCTCTCCACTCCCACCCCCACGTCCCCGCTCGGCCTGGCACGTGACGCTAATGTGTCCCGACAGCCCACGCACACGTGCTCGGGTACTGCGGCCTCGTGATGCGAGCATTAATGTGTTTTTTTTTATTGACGTTATATATATTTTTTAGATCAAGTGGAATGGGGAGACGGGGGGGGCGGGGGATAAGGGGCAAGGAGTTGGGTGGAGGGGGGGAGATGCACATAATTTATTATTATTTTCATGATCATCATTAATAGCGTATTGACTCTTAAATATTTAGCGTTGCTCTTTACTGAGCAGTCGAGGCGGATTATTCCGCGCAAAGAAACACCGCGTCGAGCCAACAGAGCGACCGCGATGCCACAGTCACCAAAGACAAAGTTCCCCCGTGTAGCCTGCACAGAATGTTGGGGGCAAGTGCTGTTTGCGAGCAGCGCCTATGAAGGCCGGCACGGCACACGAGGGGGTGGGGGGGGGGGGGCCGTGCCAAGCCCGGCCGCCTTTGTCTTCCTCGTGGCGACGTTTACACAGCGCACCAGGTGCTCATTCGAGGCTTGAGTGTACGTGGGGCAGCGGTTCAGATAATCGTCACTGATGTTGGTCGTAGCACAGCGTAGCGCTAACCGCTGCACTGCCGCTCACAACGAATATGTGGGGTCAGATGGGGGAAGTAAAACAACAATGCGTGTCGTATACCCTCCTCCACCCGACGCAGCCAATTAGTCGAGCTCTCTACAAGCGAACAAACGTGACGATGTTACGATTGTTAAAGGTGACTGTCGACTTGTCTCCGTCACCAGCACGCTCGTTTCACCACGGTGCCGACTTTACTATAGTCGGCTGTGTGTCGGGTGGTGAAAGGGTTTACGGCACACAATGTTTTGTTCGCTGCGATCTGACCTCACCTCCCTCCCCCATCCGGCCTCCCCCACAAATCAATAATGAATCAAAGTATTGCTGGCGATATCACCCCGCGCATGTGTTCTAAAACTAGACATTGCGTCGGGAAAAAGGGCGCAGCCGTGCAGTTTCTCACTCACGGTTGGCTACGTACGGTGCGAAAGAAGTTCAACATGTGTACCTGCACTGCCCGATAGGGCAGTGCAGGTACGTCGGCACTGCCCTATCGGGCAGTGCCGACGGCGTGGGGAGTCCCGGGTGGAATCTTCCACGCTCATCGGACGTACACAATCGGAATGTTGATTCATAGTGGAGGAATCGGATGAGCTATGCAGCTCTTTTAAATATTTTTTATTTATTTAACAGACGTCCAGCGAATGGAGCTACCCAAGTTGGCATCGACAACAGTGACAGGCGTAGCGTTACTAAATAAAATAAAACAAATATCATCAACACGGAGGCCTCCTTTGTCAAGCATCTACCGCTGGATGAATGCCTCCGCCATGCCAGGTATAGGCCATGAGCATTGGCCTGACCTTCCTTCATCACGCAGGGCAGACACGCGTGTCTGCGGGGCAGGGCAGACACGCGTGTCTGCGGGGCAGGGCAGACACGCGTGTCTTTGGGGCTAGCTAGATAACGGTGAGAAAGAAGTTCAACGCACATTTGTCCTTCACGATCATCTGACCAACAGGAGCCAGGTACCTCATCACCCACGCCGCGTCCCTCGGCGTACAGAGATCGATTGAGATGAGAAAGTTCTCTGTGTGCGCGTGCGTATCTCTCTGTACCTTGTCTCTGTCTAACCTTGCGTCCGCGTCTCTGTGTCTCTCTGCATCTCTGTGAACTCCCCCACCCAGGCGAGAGTCCTCCACTCACGCTGGGGGATAATGTCGCTGTTGTGCAACGCTCACCCACCCACTCGCTCGTCCACCCACCCACTCGCTCGCTCGTCCATCCACCTACTCGCTCGCTCGTCCACCCACCCACTCGCTCGCTCGTCCACCCACCCACCCACTCGCTCACTCACCCACTCGCTCGCCCGCCCACTCGCTCGTCCACCCACCCACTCGCTCACTCACCCACTCGCTCGCCCGCCCACTCGCTCGTCCACCCACCCACTCGCTCGTCCACCCACGCACTCGCTCGTCCACCCACCCACCCGCTCGCTCACTCACCCACTCGCTCGCCCACCCACTCGCTCGTCCACCCACCCACCCACTCGCTCGTCCACCCACCCACTCGCTCGTCCACCCACCCACTTGCTCGTCCACCCCCCCACCCACTCGCTCGTCCACCCACCCACCCACCCACCTACCCACTCGCTCGTCCACCCACCCACCCACTCGCTCATCCACTCACTCACTCACTCACCCATTCGCTCGCCCGCCCACTTGCTCGCTCACCCGGTGAATTGCTGTCCCCCCACCCCTCCCCCCACCACTCACGCTGGGGATGTTGTCGCTGGTGCACACCTCCCCCCACACCACCCCCCATCCCTCCCCCCCCACCACTCACGCTGGGGATGTTGTCGCTGGTGCAGGCGCCCTCGGAGAGGAGGCGGTCGCGGATCTCCCAGGCAAAGATGGAGGGGCACTCCCGCTTGTACTGCGCGATCTTCCCCACCACCTCGGGCGTGGCCACGCGCGGCTTGCTGCCGCCGATGGCTCGCGGGCGGATGGAGCCCGTCTCGTAGTAGCGGCCCAGGATCTTGCTCACGCAGCCGTTAGACACCTGCGGTGGTGGTGGGTGGTGGGTGGTGGTGGTGGGTGGTGGGTGGTGGTGGTGGGGAAGCGACGGGTGAGGTTTTTTTTTTGGGGTGCAGCTACGACAGCGCATTCGCCTGGTAAGGGCATCACGGTGCAGGCGACAGGTGAGATGCATCGGTCACTTGTCATACCGGTGACCAGGGTTACGGGTGACCAGTCTGCATGTGACCTGTCCAGGCCAATGGTGACCAGTGCACAGGTGACCAGTCCACAGGTGACCAGTCCACAGGTGACTAGTCCACAGTTTACCAGTGCACGGGTGACCAGTCTACAGGTGACCAGTCAATAGGTCAACAGTGCACAGGTGACCAGTCCACAGGTGAGCAGTCCACAGTTTACCAATCCCCAGGGGACCAGTCCACAGGTGACCAGTCCACAGTTTACCAGTGCACAGGTGACCAGTCCACAGGTGACCAGTCCACAGGGGACCAGTCCACAGGTGATCAGTGTACTAGTGACCAGTCCACAGGTGACCAGTCCACAGGTGACCAGTGCACAGGTGACCAGTCCACAGGTGACCAGTCCACAGGTGATCAGTGTACTAGTTACCAGTCCACAGGTGACCAGTCCACAGTTTACCAGTGCACTAGTGACCAGTCCACAGGCGACCAGTCCACAGGGGACCAGTCCACAGTTGACCAGTCCACAGGTGATCAGTGTACTAGTGACCAGTCCACAGGTGACCAGTCTACAGGTGACCAGTGCACTAGTGACCAGTCCACAGGTGACCAGTCCACAGGTGACCTGTCCACTGGACTAGGCCATTGTGTTTCCGGATACAAATTTGCTAAAATCGAAAATGACGCCGCTTCACGACTCGATCTTGATCACAAAGACAAAGCTTCCCCGTATCGCCTCAGCGGACTATTGGGCCAAGTGCCGTTAGCGAGCAGCAGCACCAATGAATGTCGGCACGGCACACGAGCTGGGTGGGTAGCCAGCACCAGGCCCGGCCGCCTTTGTCTCCCCAGTGGCGATGTGTACTCCACAGCAGCAGCAGTTATTGCCCCCTACCGGCAAAACAAACTTTGAGAAACTTGAACCCTGAAAATTGTCGCTCGAAGTTCAATGACTGCCACTCCATACCGTGGTCGTCACGAATCATTTAAACGCCACAAATGATGATGATCATCACCACCACCACCACCGTCACTAATGACGTATGCACATCATCACCATCACTTGTGATGTATCCACCAAACATCATCAGCACTAACAGTCACCAACATAATCATGAATTTACCCACCAATTCTCAACATCACGGGTTACTTATCCAGCGGACATCGTCATCACTATCTAACAAACATCATCATCATCATCATCGTTAATTCATCCACCTCACATCATTCTATTTTTTCAATAACGTATCCCTCTACTACCTCCTGTCTGCATTCGATAAACCTTCACCATCCGCCCGCTTTCCCTTCCTAACCTCGCCAGCCACCCCCTTCCCTTCTCATCACCCTTCCTTGCCATCCCTTCCCCTCCCCACACACTCAACCCCCATCGCTTTTCCCCATCAGCCAATAAACAATGTACGATTCATAATGGCAAATAACTCACGCACAAAATGTATAATTCTTGTAAAGCGCGTCGATGAGAAGCGCTGTGAGTGTGTGTGTATGTAATCAAAGCGACGGACGAGATTCTGATGCTTCTCATGAACTCGCCTCGCAACGCGAGTCTCGCCTAGGTTCGTTATTTATAATGAACCCGGGACACGCGGCTCCTCCGGCCCTGCCCAGCCTCCCACCTCGCCAGAGCAAGGGGATAATCAGACGCGAGGGGATCAAAGCGACGTCGCCTCGAGCCCACCCTCAACTCCACCACCACTACAATACAACCACCACTACCACCAACCACAACCACCACCAACACTCCGCTCAACTACCATCAACACCACTCCACTGCCACCACCACTACAATACAACCACCACTACCACCAACCACAACCACCACCAACACTCCGCTCAACTACCATCAACACAACTACACTGCCACCACCACTACAATACAACCACCACTACCACCAACCACAACCACCACCAACACTCCGCTCAACTACCATCAACACCACTCCACTGCCACCACCACTACAATACAACCACCGCTACCACCAACCACAACCACCACCAACACTCCGCTCAACTACCATCAACAGCACTCCACTGCCACCACCACTACAATACAACCACCACTACCACCAACCACAACCACCACCAACACTCCGCTCAACTACCATCAACACCACTCCACTGCCACCACCACTGCAATCCAACCACCACTACCACCAACCACAACCACCACCAACACTCCGCTCAACTACCATCAACACCACTCCACTGCCACCACCACTACAATACAACCACCACTACCACCAACCACAACCACCACCAACACTCCGCTCAACTACCATCAATACCACTCCACTGCCACCACCACTACAATACAACCACCACTACCACCAACCACAACCACCACCAACACTCCGCTCAACTACCATCAACACCACTCCACTGCCACCACCACTACAATACAACCACCACTACCACCAACCACGACCACCACCAACACTCCGCTCAACTACCATCAACACCACTCCACTGCCACCACCACTACAATACAACCACCACTACCACCAACCACAACCACCACCAACACTCCGCTCAACTACCATCAATACCACTCCACTGCCACCACCACTACAATACAACCACCACTACCACCAACCACAACCACCACCAACACTCCGCTCAACTACCATCAACACCACTCCACTGCCACCACCACTACAATACAACCACCACTACCACCAACCACAACCACCACCAACACTCCGCTCAACTCCTATCAACACCACTCCACTGCCACCAGCACTCAGCTACCACCACCACGACGCTACCACCTCCAACACTCCGCTCAACTACCATCAACAATACTCCACTGCCACCAGCACTCAGCTACCACCACCACCACTCTGCTCAACTACCATCAACACCACTCCACTGCCACTACCACTACCCTCACTCGACTGCCATAACCACCACTCCACTACCACCACCACTCCGCTCAACTACAATCAACACCACTCCACTGCCACCACCACTCAGCTTCCACTACTACTACACTAAAACCACCACTCCGCTCAACTACAATGTAATACAAAAAGCCATTTTGTTCCTGGCTAGTAAGTATTTTTTCCTAATTGCTTATGCCTCAAAAGTATAGAAAATGGCTATTATTCCCCACAAACTTTGATTTTTTGACCAGAACATTGATATTTTGAAATGTACCGATTTTGAATGAGAAAACGGGCAAATTTGTGTCTTTTCGTTCACATAAAGTCAGAAAAAAACAACAAATGAATCAAGACTAACATGGATTCATGCTAAAGTAATAAAAAAATTACTACAAAAGATTTAGACACCAAGGCGCACTACCACAGGCGGGACTGGCCACAGCGGACCGAGTTCTCTGTGGGGAGGAACAACGTCAAGTGGGAGCCACTGGTGGACCCCGGAAGGTGCTGATGCCACCACTGCACATCAAATTGGGCCTCATGAAACAATTTGTCAGAGCTGTAGATAAGGAGTCGGCAGCCTTCAAGTACCTTCAAGACTTCTTCCCTAAGCTGTCTGAGGCAAAAGTCAAAGTCGGTGTCTTCCTCGGACCAGAGATAAAGAAGATCCTGGAGTGCAATGAATTCCCCAAGAAGCTCACTAGTAAGGAGAAAGCGGCTTGGAACAGCTTTGTCGCAGTGGTTCGTGGCTTCCTGGGCAATCACAAGGTGGAAAACTGTGGAGCTGGTTGAAACTCTGGTGAAAAACTACGGCACAATGGGCTGTAGGATGTCCCACAGAGTCCATATCCTTGATGCTCATCTTGATAAATTCAAGGAGAACATGGGAGCGTACTCGGAGGAGCAAAGCGAACTCTTCCACCAGGATATACTGGGACTTTGAACGCCGCTACCAAGGACAGTATAACAATAACATGAAGGGAGACTACATTTGGGGGCTGATTCGTGAAAGTGATTTACAATATCATCCTAAATCTCGAAAAACTACTCACTTCTAAATCTTTTGTAGTCATTTCTGTATCACTTTAGTATAAATACATGTACATTTGTATTCATATGTTGTTTTTTTCTGACTTTATGTGAACGAAAACACACAAATTCGCCAGTTTTCTCATTGAAAATAGGTGCATTTCAAAATATCATTGTCCTGGTCACAAAGGCAAAGCTTGTGGGGGAATAATATCAATTTTCTAAACTTTTTACGCATAAGCAATTACGAAATAACACTGACTACCCAGGAACAAAAATTGTGTTACATAGTGCTATCATTACCACCACGCCACTCCCACTTCCACTACCACCACCACTCCACTACCAACCACCCTCATTCCACTACCACCACCCTCCACTACCACTCTACTACCATCACCACTACTCCACTACCACCACTCTACTAACACCACCAATTAACTGCCACCACCACCCCACTACCTCCACCATTACTCAACTATCTTTCATTAGTACCGGTTATGGTTTCTCAATTATTGATTTGATAACGATTGTGCTGATTGGGCAGAAGCCTCGGCCGTGGTGGTGTTGGTTTTGGTGGTTGTTGTGCTGCGGTTTGCGCTACGCCGCGCTACAAACCCGGCGACCCCAGTGACGATTATCTGAACCGGTCCTGGGCCACCGCTAGGTCGACTCAGCCTCAGATGAGTACCTGGTGTGGTTGTGTGTAAACATCACCACTGGGGAGACAAAGGGGGCTGGGCGTGGTACTGGCCACCCACAACCCTGTGTGCCGTGCCAAGCTTCATTGATGCACGCTAACAGCACTTGCCCCAAGAAGTCTGTTGACGCCATACGGGGGTTCTTTGTCTTTGGTGGTGTATGTACGTATGTAGAACTTCTTTCGCACCGTACGTAGCCAACTGTACTAATCGAAGGTGCGGGGGAAGGACAACAATCTAAACACGCACAAAAACTGTTCTAAAGAAATTAGGTTTAAATCTGGATGATTTAAAGTGCATAGCTCCAGTGGCTTCCTGTTCGTGATGGTGGTGGAGTTATCGGTGGTGGTGTAATTCCTGTCCGTAGTAAAGTTGTTGTTGGTAGTAGTGGTAGTTGATGGAGCTGTTGCTGCTGGTGGTGGTAGTGGTGGCGTTGCTGTAGTTGCTACAGGTTGGTGTGGAGTTGGAGGAGGTGGTGGTGTAGTTATTGGGGGTGGAGTTGACGGAGGAGGTGGTGGTGATAGTGATGGTGGTGGAGATGATGGTGGAGATGGTGGTAGTGGTAGTGGAGATGATGGTAGATTTTCTGGAGGGGGAGTTGGTGGTGATGATAGTGGTGTAGGTGGTGGTGGTAGTGGTGGTAGTGGTGGGTTTGGTGGTGATGGTGATGGATTTGATGGTGGTGATAGTGGTGGGTTTGGTGGTGGTGATGGTGGTGGGTTTGATGGTGGTGATAGTGGTGGGTTTGTTGGTGGTCGTAGTTGCTGGTCTTGGCGATGATTATGTTGTGGTGTTGCTGGAGATGGGAGATGCTGGTGGAGTTGGTGGTGAAGATGATAATAATGGTGGTGGTGGTGCAGGTGATGGTGGTGGTAGTGTATGTGATGATGGTGGAGGTGATTGTGGAGGTGATGGTCGATGAGGTGACGATGGTGAAGGTGATGATGGTGGAGGTGATTATGGTGGAAGTGATAGTGGGGTTGGTGGTGGTATTGGTGGAGTTGGTGGTGGTGCTAGTGGTGGGGTTTGTGGTGGTGGTGGTAGTGGTGAGGTTGGTGGTGGTGGTAGTGGTGGTGCTGGTGGTGCTGGTGGTGATAGTGGTGGGCTTGGTGGTGCTAGGGGCCGAGGCCGCGCTCGCCTGCAGGATGCGAGAGATGTCGCAGGGGCGTGCGCCGCTGTGCGCGAGCTCCACGATCTTCTGGCGCGTGGAGTCGGGGAGCGGCCTCCCGTTCACAAACACCCCACCCAGCTGGTTCACGCCGCTGTGGCCTGGCGGGGACACGGAGACACGGGGACACGGAGACACGGGGACACGGGGACACGGGGATAGGAGGATACACGGGGATAGGAGACAAAAGCATATGGAGACACGGGGACACAAAGATGTGGACAAGGGGACACGGAGGAATGGGGACACGTAGATACCCACGGAGATAGACACGGCACGGTAAGACACAAGCGGACGGAGAGACACGGACACACACGTAGAGACAGGAACATCCACGTGGACACAGACACGTGTGGACACGGACAGACGGGGACACAGACACACACACACAGAGGAAACGTTGGAATACACAGACACACGGATACAGACACACAAACACAGACACACAGATACAGACACACAGATACAAAGCGAAGACACGTACACACAGATACACACAGACACAGATACAGACACACAGATACAGACACACAGATACACACAGACACACACAGATACAGACACACAGATACACACAGACACATATACAGACACACAGACACACGTACACACAGATACACACAGATACGGACACAGAGACACAGAAGCAGCACAAGTCCGCGCATTGCATCCCAACACCATCACGAACAATGATGCCCTCAGTTTACCGCACAAAGGCAAAGGTCCCCCGTGTAGCATTTAACGGAGTTTTGGGGCAAGTGCTCTTGGCGAGCACCTATTAAGGCCGGCGTGGTGCACGAAGGGATTGTTGTTGTCAGCACCACGCCCGGCCGCCTTTGTCTCCCTAACGCTGATATTCCTACGCTGCACAAGGTACTGAAGGCTGAGTCGACCTAGAGGGAGGGAACCACTGGATCGGTTCGGATATCGCTTTTTCCACGAGTCGAATTTAGGTCGAAGGGTTTGTGGCGTAGTGCGTCAACTATCGCGCCACCGCTCCCCATACATACAAAGATCCCCCATATAGCCTTAACAGACTGTAGGGGCAAGTGCTGTTAGCGAGCCCCTATGAAGGCCGGCACAAGCACACGAGGGGGTGGGTGGCCAGCACCACGCCCGGCCGCCTTTGTCTCCCCCAGTGGCGATGTTTACACACTGCACTCATTTGAGGCTGAGTCGACCTAGGGGAGGCCCAGGACCGGTTCAGATAATTAATCGTCACTGGCGTTGGCCGTAAGCGCGAATCGAACTCGGGTGGCCGTGCGCTAACCGCTGCGCCACCGCTCCTCACACACACGCACACACACGCGGGTTGCCACCTCTGAGCTACACGAATCGGGACACGTCATGCGACGACTAATATCTCGCAATAGCCGAACAAGGGAACACCCCATACATGTAAAACGCCATTATCTTGAGTGGTGAAGTATGGTTATTGTTACGCAACCTGCCCAAAGAAATGATCGTGACTTTTAAACGTCCCGGGAAGACTTTACAGACGAACCACGAGATAGACGTGCGAGCTGTCTCATTCACAACGAACAACATCAACAACAGACTGAGTCCTGGGGAAAAAACCGGGACAGGTGGCAACCGCAGCAGAGACGCGCTTCCATCTCCATTCACTCACAGCAGCAGCGGCAGCAGCACCAGCGGCAGCTTCTGTAGCTGTTGCCAACTGTTGCTATCCGTCCAATTGATTTAGACGTGGGGAGGGGGGGGGTTGAATTCTCTATCGGCGTCTGCCCCCCCCCTCCGCCCCCCCCTGCCCCCCCCCTATCACAAGCATCAGGTGGGGAAATAGCCACTGCGATCGGGATTAGGTCGTCTCTCACCTTGACGAAATTCTTCAAAAATTTCGTTTCGCCCGTTTGCTCCATTGCTGGCAATGAAGACGGCACCACGATTTCGCGAGAAATCTGACGGGAATTAAACAACCGCGTTTAAGGTCGCGAAGACTGCAATGGCACAATTAGTCTTTACCCGGCGATTTCCCCACCTACCCCCCCCCCCCATCTTCCCCCTGCCCCCCCCCCTCTCTCGCCATCCTTACCCCCCACATCGTCTTGTGATGATGGCGGGAGAATTCGTGTCCGGCTTACACCAAATTCACATTCTCACTCACTCCCCTCCCCCACCCCTCTATCTATTTACGGTGATGAAGAAACGATTACATCTAAACGTCACCTATGACACGTATATATGTCAAATGTGTGTTATATATATTTTATACATAAGGGACATACAGTGTTGCTGTTATTATCAGCGACGAATGTGCTTGCTAAATTTATCTTTATTATTTTGTGGTTTGCGTTGGACTCACTGGGTGATGGCGAGTTATAACGGAGTCGCGAGTTATAACGGAGTCGCGAGTTATAACGGAGTCGCGAGTTATAACGGAGTCACGAGTTATAACGGAGTCGCAGGTTATAACGGAGTCACGAGTTATAACGGAGTCACGAGTTATAACGGAGTCGCGAGTTATAACGGAGTCGCGCGTTATAACGGAGTGGCGAGTTATAACGGAGTCGCGCGTTATAACGGAGTCGCGAGTTATAACGGAGTCGCGCGTTATAACAGAGTCGCGAGTTATAATGGAGTCGCGGGTTATAACAGAGTCGCGAGTTATAATGGAGTCGCGGGTTATAACAGAGTCGCGAGTTATAACGGAGTCGCGCGTTATAACAGAGTCGCGAGTTATAACGGAGTCGCGGGTTATAACGGAGTCGCGAGTTATAACGGAGTCGCGCGTTATAACAGAGTCGCGGGTTATAACGGAGTCGCGCGTTATAACAGAGTCGCGCGTTATAACAGAGTCACGAGTTATAATGGAGTCGCGAGTTATAACGGAGTCGCGCGTTATAACAGAGTCGCGGGTTATAACGGAGTCGCGCGTTATAACAGAGTCGCGAGTTATAACGGAGTCGCGAGTTATAACGGAGGCGTGGCCAATTGCCTTTTTGTTGTTGTTGTTTAAATCCCCCGGCCAATAACTATATGGCCACGTGGTTTTTAATCCCAGATGCCCCTCCCCACGTGGTTTGCGGCGTGCTCGTCACAATGGGATTCCCACGAAGAGTTTTCGATCGTTTGATGTCGCTCACTAAGAAGTAAACCAAATGCTGTCGCTCGACGTAACGATATAGACACTCACGTGAGCACACGTTCGGGTTCAGCCTTCGCAGTGTAACGGATATCGCAAGCGATGTGGAGAGTGACAGGTATAGCCGGTCGAGTTTGTGTTGCTAGTACAATGAGACGTTATCACCATCATCACGAATGATGTATCCACTATACACCACCATCATGATAATCAGTATCAGCATCATCACGAATGATATATCCACTATACACCACCGCCATCATCATCAGTATCATTACGAATAATTCATCCACTATAAACCACCATCATCATAATAATCAGTATCAGCATCATTACGAACAATTAATCCACTATACACCACCACCATCATCATCACCAGTATCAGCATCATTACGAATAATTCATCCCCTATACCACAACCACCAGTATCACCGTCACGAAAAATGTATCCACTATAGTCTATAGACCACCATCATCATCACAGCAACGTGATTACGAACACCTCTTCCAAGAATCAACATCATCATATCTACGAATAATGTTTATGATCACGATCACCATCATCACCACCACTCACAGATGTATCCGCAAACAGCAGAAGTTCCTGGAATTCATATCGCGTCGACAAGAGGCATCTCAAGACAGAACCCAGTCAAGACAATCACATCTTACAGTAAAAAATAACGAACAATGATCATACTCATCATCATCATCATCCGTTACCATTTATCCACACTACATCATCACTGTCATCATCACTTTAATCATTAAAGCTCGTCATCACTATTATCGTCACCACGACCAACATGTGTCTATCATCATAATCGTCATCATGAATATCTACGCTTATAACCTACTATCATCATCGCCAATTATAACCTCCCGTCGTTATCATCACCGTCATCATCGTTACCGACATCGTTATATAATAAACAGACATACGCTTGTTTTTCACAGACCGCGAATTCTTCGCGAGCCCTCTAAACCGCAAACCCGCAACAATAATTAATCTGTTCCTGTGTTTATGAATCAAAGAGAGCAGTCGGCCACCACTATTTAACATTTATAAACATATAGGGGTGTTTTTTTGTATAATAGAAACATGTATGTCAGGGTTATTATCACCGTATATACGCTTTCATACGTATATATGTAGACAGTGGTGGAGATAGACGAAGTATATACATTGGCGGTTATTAAATTGATATTCATACAACGATTAATGATCACTCACACTTGCACTAACACACGTGCACACACACTCACCCACTCACACACACACAAATTCGCACACTCACTCACAGACTCACAGACACACAGACATTCTCACACACACTCACCCACTCACACACACACATTCACACACTCACAGACTCACACTCACAGACATTCTCACACACACTCACCCACTCACTCACACACACATTCACACACTCATTCACAGATTCACACTCACAGACACACACAGACATTCTCACACACACATTCACCCACTCACACGCACATTCACACACTCACTCACAGACTCACACAGACATTCACACACACACTCACCCATTCACACACACACACATTCACACACTCACTCACAGACTCACACTTACAGACACACACAGACCATCTCACACACACATTCACCCACTCACTCACACACACACACGCACATTCACACACTCACTCACAGACTCACACTCACAGACGCAGACATTCTCACACACACTCACCCATTCACACACACACACATTCACACACTCACAGACTCACACTCACAGATACACACACACAGACATGCTCACACACACACTCATCCACTCACTCACCCACACACTCACTCACCCACTCACACACTCACTCACCCACTCACCCACACACACACACGTGTTTAGTTTTCGTGACATGTCGATATGGCAAACCGGTCTCTACCGAGCTGTATAGACAGTTACATATATATATACAGACCACACACACACATATATATATACAGACCACACACACATATATGTACGTGCATGCCTGGCAAACATTCAGTTCGATCAAGACATAAAGAAGCTCTGCGGTGGTTATGTGTACGGTCCGTACGAAGGGTATGGGTTTAAAGGCGACCGTATTTAAATTACTCGCCCGGACCTTATTTAATTACCGCAGTCGATGAATGTATTTGGATAAGCGACACATCGCATTACGAATCCTCCTCCTGCGACTACCACCATCTCGGTACGTCTGCCACGCTGCTGATAATACCATGACATTACAACGGTGATCAATGCGTAATTATGCAATCGATGCACGCGTAGAATGATGTGACGAATGAGTGAAATAGCGAATGCATGAATGAATTAATGCATTGATATGATGATGATAGGGACGGCGCATGAATGAATGAACGATTGCATTACCGTGTGAATGAATGAGAGAATGAACAAGTGAATTAATGAGTAAAAGAATGAAAATGTAAACCGAGGAGAGAAGATACAGCTCAAGAAGCTTCGTTCACGACCCCACCAGATACAAAGACAAAGATCAACCGTATAGCCTTAACAGACGTTTGGGGCAAGTGCTGCTCGCGACAATTAGATACCGACACGTATGCAAATACACACATAGAGACATACGAATGAACACACACGTGCACAAACGCACGCACATGCACAAATGGATATGCATATATACAATTATGCGCAGACACAAACAAAGGCCCCCCTAAAGGCTCAGCATACTTTTGGGTCAAGTGTTGTTGAGCGAGTACGCACGATTCAAAAGCACCCTGACATGCACGTGACATTCATCCGACACACACACACAACACACACACAACACACACACCTCTGCGTATACCCCCAATGAGTACAGACCGCATTATTGAGTACACGACACTGAGTAAAGACTACACCAGAGTACACACCACAGAGTACACGCCACACCACAGAGTACACACCATACCAGAGTACACACCACAGAGTACACGCCACACCAGAGTATACGCCACACCAGAGTACACGCCACACCAGAGTACACGCCACACCACAGTACACACCACACCACAGAGTACACGCCACACCACAGTACACACCACACCATAGTACACACCACACCAGAGTACACGCCACACCAGAGTACACACCACACCACAGAGTACACGCCACACCAGAGCACACACTCACTCCACAGAGTACACGCCACACCAGAGCACACACCGCTGAGTACACACCACACCAGAGTACACACCACACCACAGAGTACACGCCACACCAGAGCACACACTCACTCCACAGAGTACACGCCACACCAGAGCACACACTCGCTCCACAGAGTACACGCCACACCAGAGCACACACCGCTGAGTACACACCGCCGAGTACACGCCACACCAGAGCACACACTCACTCCACGTGTACCGTCTAACAAGCACGTCCGGCTGCCGGTCTGCCCCGCCCGATCTCCCGCAGCGGCAGTCCCCTCGCCCGCGTCCCCGGGCTCACGGGGGACAGGTAGCAGGCGCAATGCGACGGGCGGCGTTACGAAGAACAACAACCAAATACAATTGGCGATCTGCCCGACCTGGCTCAGGGCGAGGGAAGGAAGCGAAGGCTGCTGCGGTACTGGGGGGGGGGGGTGGTGGTGCCACGCGCGCGCGCGGTCAACGGCGGCGCGCGCGCGAGGCAGCCGCGGCGTCGTCCGCGAGGCTCCTCCGAGTGCGACTCCACAGCCACCTCCCCGACCCGATATAAGTGGGGGGGGGGGGGGGGGGGGGGGGAAGCGGAGCCGTGGAACGATGAGGCCGTGTGACATTTGTCTTCCGAATAAAGCCATCCAGAC